TGATTGCAAGATGCACAGGACGATGGCTCCGATAGAAACCTCCCTCTCTTTGCCCTTATATGAAACTAACATAGATTCGAACTTTGCACTGAGTTTGGTATCCTCGACCATCCTACCCCCCCCGTTCAGCATTTCTGTCACATAACCTCCACGTCGTTTCTGCCTGGTTATGTGCTACCTGGAGATTTGCTTCAGCAGCCTCTAACCTTTTCATCGCATCGTCTTTTTCTTGCATCGCCTCACGCAACACACGAGAACTGTGATCAAATCTCGCTCGCATACCATCCACCATCGGTCTTTATCGATCTATCTGTCATCGTATCTTCACGTTGTTAATGACGAGGTCGTCGCAACACTGTCGCAAAGCGTCACGCGAGTCACGCAGCCTTTTCAGTACAGAAAACGCCCATCTTCTCGAGGGAGATGTCGGTTTCAGAAACCGTCCTCCCGCTCCGCAATGTCACGGTGATACTATCTCCCCTCTCCAACAAGAAACGGTGTAGTCGTTCCACCTCCTTCTCCGTGTTTTCGATATAGTTTATCAATGCACGCTTTTCGTACACAAAATCCCTACGTTGATCGCCGGTCGCCATAGTTGCCACTGAACGTGCGAGGAAACGTGACACAACGCTAGGCACCGACAAACGCTCCACCTATGCAACCTCCCACTCGCTTGTAATGCACCGCCAACAATGTTTTTGCCTAACAAACTGACATTTCGTTAAAACTGACATTTTTTTTCTAAAAACATGAAATCAAAGTCCCTATTTTTTGTCCAAAACAGGGCATTTTTCACAAAAATGTGACATATTTGATCCTATGGTACTATGCTGCACATGTCCAAATTTTATGTCAGTTTTGTTTGATTTTTTTCAGTTTGCTCTTTTTTAGTGACTTGGTTATTAGTTTAACTTCGAAATCAGCCACTTTTTCACAACTTTGCTTGTGTCCGCCGTTTTTGTGCCGTGTAGTTGTTGTTATTATTTGGTGTTTTGTTGTTGTTGTTTTCGTGCACATATCCATTTCACGTGTACGGAGCACTTCATGCTTTGTTTTGTTTTGCCATTGTGTACTTTTTCTTTTTTTTTTGTGCGACAGTAGCTCATTTTATTCATTATTTCTATGTATTTTCTTCCTAGTTTGTGTATTCTGTGCATTCATTATTTCATTGTCATGTGCAGTGTAACATAGATTTTCCAGGCATTTGCACTTGTATCTAAGTTGACCTGTGTGTTACTTGTGTGTTTTATTTCTGGCTATGCCTGAATTGTCATTCATTCGTCTTCTAACGAGTAACTTGTTTTCTACCAAACAAATTTATTTAGTTAATTGGTGTGTTTTCGGGTATTGTACAATCCCTTTTTTAACACTGTGTGTGTTGCACAAACGCATAACATCAAGATACAGACACACACACACACGCACACACGCACACACATACACACACACACACGCACACACGCACACAC